AGGTGGTATGGTACCCAGAAAGCTAGCCCGCTGAGGGCAGCAGGAAATCAGGAAGGGCTAAGGGAGTATCAGTCCTCATTTCGAGGGGAGTGGAGTATAATAAGAGCAGGGGGCTTGTCAGGGTCAGTGCTGAGAGGACGTTTCCCCTTCATAGGGCCAGAGGACTCCATCTCATAATAAAGGGACGCCAATTTTAGACTGAGATGATGAGCAATTTCTTCTCTCAGAGTGTTGGGAGTCTTTGGAACACCTTCCAACAGACAGCTGTGGGAGGGAGCAAGGTTCTAGTGTATATCGAAGGCTGGTGGAGAGAGGTAGGTTCTCGATCAGTTGGGGAATAGGGGCAGGTAGGTGGACGCGATGAACGGCAGGTGAGCTGCGATCTCACCTAAGAGCAGAGCGGGCCCAACGGGCCGAATGGCCCGTTCTCGTTCCCGGCGCTCACTGTCGCAAAGTCTATGTGTGACGAGACCGGCCGCGAGCCGTTACGGCGCCACTCGGAGCGCAGGGTTGTTCCGGTGGGGTATACCGATTCAACCATACGTCTCACAGCAGTGAAGCCTCATGCAGTTGAACAGCACCACTGCTGCAATTTTTGGGGGTATAAGTTCTGACAGCTCACCTCACATTGCACTCCTCACCCACCCCCACTTACAATAAAAAAAATCCCCACCCCACAACTGCCCCCACACACACATACACAGAGCCGGTCAACGCGCATGCGCACCGAGTGGGCAAAGATAGCCTGCAACGGCGCCTGCGCCAGTTCAAGGAAAGCAGCCGGCAACGGCACCTGCGCGCTACGGCGAGACGGGCCGAGCGGCCGGCAACGGCGCCTGCGCACTGCGCCGAGACGGGGAGCAGCCGGCAACGGCGCCTGCGCGCTTCGTCCAGACGGGGGAAACAGCCGGCAACGGCGCCTGCGCGCTGCGTCCAGACGAGGGGGGGTGGAAAAAAAGTCGGCAGCGGCGCCTGCGCAGTGGGATCCGGCCTACAAGAAACAGCCGGCCCGCCTCCGGGATTGAAATTTACCGCCGCCATCGCTTCCCGAAACCTCCGTCAGTACGAGGGCAAGGGGGCCCGGTCCGGTGCCTGTCTCCAAATACAAAAGGTATGTACAAATAAATAAGTATGATGAAGCCTCCCGGCCCCGTTACGGCTCTCGGCTGCTCCGGGGATCCGCCGCTTCTGCCTTTCGGCGCCGCCGCCGCCTCCTCCTTCCCTTTCCCCTCCCCCCACAACACACACACACACACACACACCGCCATCCTCCCCGGCTCCACCCCTCGACGAACCTCAGGCCAATCACAGCCGGCCTCCCGCACCACGTGGCGGGGTCCGCCCAATCGCCGTCGGTCACTCCGCGGAAGGCCCCGCCCCTCCGTCCCGAGCGGCCAATCGTGTCCTCCCCGCGCGCCCCGCCCCTAGCGGCCGGGGCGCAGCCGCGACCAGGAAAGGGGGCGGGGTCCGTCGCCCCGACCAATGGGACGGCGTCTTCCCGCCCCCACGTGGGGCGGTCGGTAACCACAGCCAATGGTGTCGTTACTCGCCGCCCCGCCTTGACACAACAGCCAATGGGATTGGCCTATCTCCCCTTAAACGTTTGGCGCCCGTCGAGGTCAGCCGCAGCGGAAGTGTTCTGCAGCCAATTACGTCTCACGTTGGGGGTGGCAGCGGAAAAGTAGACCAATAGGATCGAACGGCCTCGGTAACAAACAGCCAATAGTATCAGGCCTGCCAGCTCCTGCTTCAGGACGAACAACCGTTCCCGCCATTGGGACGGGGCTATCCCACAACCAATGGGAACCCCCGAACCGTTGTCACGTGCCCGCCCAGGGCCACCAATCCCCGCCGGCGCCTGTGGCGTTACCCCGCCCGCAACTGCGTCCCGACCAATCAGCTACCGGCGCCGCTCACGCCGCGCCCTCCCATTGGCCGCTTTTCGAAATTCGAAAGTCAACCGCCGTCCCAACAACAACCGCGGCGGGATGGGCGGGACATCCTGCGGCGCCCGCCCGCTAGCCAATGGGAGGCCGGGATTGGCCTTGATGGACGGCCGCTCTCCTTAAAGGGGCAGCCCTTAAAGGGGAAGTCTACAGCCGACTCAAAACAGTGTGGGTAAGGAGGAGAATTTTTTTTGTCTCTACAAACACATTCCAACACCTTCCCCTCCCTCCAAAGCACCAACAAACCCAACTGAAACTTGCTGTTGGTTCTAATCATTAACTCCCATCACAAGCCCCTCAACGCCATTTGTCTTGGGGCTGGGGTTCCAAAGATGGTTGACCGACACCATCGGTCATGGAGTGTGGCCCCGTGGCTCGGACACCAACCGGTGGGCGTCGAGGCAAGGGCGTCCGCTGGGGGTTGCCTGCCCGTTCCCAGGACGGGCCGAAGTGTTTCTTTGGGATTGGGTGGGGGGGGGGGCGACAACATGGCCGCCAAGTTGACGTACGCAGAGAGGAAAGAGAGACAGGGAGAGAACGACCGAGGGGAGGGGGCGCGAGCAGTGCCAACCAGTTCCCCGCACCCCTCGCCCGGATCGCCAACAACGTTCCCCTCAACCGGCAAACGGGACGAGGGAGGAAGAGAGACGCCAAGGGCAGGAATGGTGGCCTGGATTGCGGACTTCGGCCACGTCTGGGGACGGGGCGGATCGGCGGGCAACCCCCAGCGGACGCCATTCCCTCGACGCCCACTGGTTGGCGTCCGAGCTACAGGCGCACGGGGCCATGACCGATGGTGTCAGTCAACCATCTGGAGTAAACGTGTCTCCCCAATTCCCGAGGGGGGAAAGGATTGACCGCTTTGACTCTTGAGGTGACACGTTGCGGAGGGATCCTGGACGATCGCGCCAGTCAAACCCATCGCGTTCGGTGTACGCACCCGGTGGCGCTCCGCACGTCGGGCACCCGTGGGGCAGCTGGGGCGTTTGACATTGTTCGGCAAGGCACCCGCCGGGTTGCGGGGCCGGGCGCTGACCGTTGCCGCGGCTCCAGGCCGAGAGGAGGCGCCGTGGAGCCGAGCCGGGATTGGCTGCTTGCATACGTGGCCCACAGCCCGTACGATTCATTCGAGGCATAACGTTTTGCTAAAACAAACAAAAACAAGACTTATAGAATTAAAAGTAGGGCCATTGGATAGTGTTGTAGAACAGGGGGACCTGGCGGGGAGATTCAGGGATGTAATTCTTTGAAGTTAGCGTCCCAGGTAGACAGGGCAATGCAGAAGGCTTTTGTGTCTCTCGCGCTCTCTCTCTCCCTCTCTCTCCAAACCGTTCCTATCCATGTACTTCTCCAAATGTCCTTTTAAACGTTGTAACTGTACCCACACCCATCACTTCCTCAGGAAGTTCATTCCACACACGCACCGCCCTCTGTGTTTTCCAATTAAAAAAATTGCCTCTCGTGTTCTTCGACCCTGAAAAGTATGCCCCTTGGACATGTTATCCCCCGCCCAAGGTAAAGGACAGCTGCCATTCCCCTTACCCTCGTGTGGGATCGAGGTATTCCAGATGTTGGAATCTGTACTGAAAACAACAAATGCTGGAGATCATAGCTGGTCTGGCAGCATTCATGGAGAGAGAGAGAGCAAGCTAATGTTTCAAGTCTCGTTGACCTTTTATCAGAGGTGAAATCAGTTTATCTATGACGCTCATGATTTTATAAACCTCTATAAGGTCACCCCACGCCCCAGTGGGAAAAAGTCCCAGCCTCTCCTTATAACTCAAAACACTCCATATCCGGCAACCTCCTGGTAAATCTCTCCCCGAACCCGTCTCCAGCTTTAATAACGTCCTTCCTGTAACAGGGAGACCAGAACTGGGGGCACACAGTTGCTCCAGAAGAGGCCTCACCAACGTCCCTGTACAACCTCAACGTGACATCCCCCGACTCCTTACACCCCCCCAAAGGGTCTGAGCGATGAATACCACCCAATGCCAGTACTGA